AAACCACTAGAAATATTGCAACTTCCAACAGTTGGAAAGGACATAAAACAAGATTAGGTGTTACTACTTTTGATGTTTTTGTTTGCGCCGACGCTGTCGCCAAGACCTAATCCTAACTTATTGCTACCTTTAATTCCCATATAATATTTGTGGCTCATATCTTCACATCAATTCTTTAACATTTAATGATGCATTAATACCATATAATTATGTAGTTCAGATCTTTGTGTGAATTCTTAAGCAAGTAATTATATTTTAGAGTAGTGTACTGAGGTCAAGTTCAAAGATACACTGAGCTTGTCTATGATGTACTCTCCAGTACAAGACACAAATGCATCATGCAATAAATTCAGGTCAGCTGGATTATATCCCCCTTTTCATTCAATCTTGACTTAATGCATAATTGATGGTATTGCTCCGCCTTATGTCGAAGAAGAGGGAAGCCTTTCATGTTCAAGCCCTGAACATAATGAGAAGGATCGCCAAGATTACTCAATAGATCTTGTAGATCACTTTTCTGCTCAAGGTGGCAGATTCAGTAAAAGATTAAATGATATGGTTCCCTTTTTAGAAATATCCATTTCGTACTGCTCCAACATACTACAAATCTATTATGCACACTGTTAATCAGACAGAAGAGTACACCAATCTCTCTCACTTGCGCTGGCGGAATTAAATGATTGATCATCCATCTAGCAACCCCAATTAATATTGATAAGTTTGTTTTGGAAGCAAATAACATATTATTTAGTCTGGTTAACAAATTGATCATGCTGCTCAGACCCAGGGTTTTGGTTACCGCTCGAAATTTCGAGATTTACCACGGTTACTGCATATTTCGGTCCCCCTCGGTAAATGGGCATTTCGAGCAAAAAAAATCGATTTTTTCAAATTTTTTGAATTCAAACGCTCAATGTATAGTAAAGTATGGCAGCACTTGATAGCACACATGTAGACAACGTTCCACTAGCTAGTAGCTCTTTTATGATTAATATAAGTTCAAGTTCTATCTATATCGATCTATTTTGAACGAATTTGAATTCAAAATTAAA